TTACATATTTTATCTTTTAAGTCTCAAACTTGTTTATATGTTTCATCTTTGCATTATTCCATGTCACAGCATTCAGGAAAGCTGCCTTAATCTATTTTAGTGTATTTACTTCTTTTTTGTTGTATCTAATCTGCTTTGCAACATATCCAGTGAATTACTTTTCAGTGCCTGTCTTTTACATTTACTCATACATCATGTATGAGTGTTTTAACTGCTTGCATGCAGAGGTCAGAAGAGGGCATCAGCTTCTCTTGGAACTGGAGTTGCTGTTGGTTGAGCCACCATGTGGGTACTAGGAACTGAACCAGACCCTCTTTAAGAACAACACATGGCCGGGTGTTGGTGGCACATGCCTTTAATCCCAGCACTCCGGAGGCAGAGGCAGGCAGATCTCTGTGAGTTCGAGGCCAGCCTGGTCTCCAGAGCGAGTGCCAGGATGGGCTCCAAAGCTACACAGAGAAACCCTGCCTCGAAACCCCCCCCCAAAAAAAAAACCAAAAAGAAAAAAACAACACGTTCTTAATGGCTCAGCCATCCCTGCAGCACCCAAAGTACTTGTATTTTTAAAATCTGTATATTTGTGTTTTTTCCTCCAGTCTAGATTTTATTTTAAAATTATTATTATTTTAAAAATTGTATGTGTGGGTATATGCATGTGTGGCTGGTGACCATGGATGCCAGAAGAGGGTGTCTGGCATCCTGGAGCTGGAATTATAGGCAGTTGTGAGCAGCTTGCTGTTGTGAAATAATCTTTTTGTATACTCTGAAGATTTGTCACTCATATTGGTTTAATAAAAATCTGAACGGTCAATAGCTAGGCAGGATTTTCAGAACAACAGGATGCTGGGAAGAAGAGCAGAGATGAGGAGAGATGCCAGGAGCTGCAGAGGAAGCAGCATGGGCAGGACAGAATAAAGGTAACCAAGCCATGTAAAAGAACAGATTAAGCCGGATGGTGATGGTGGCACACACCTTTTAATCCTAGCACTTGTGAGGCAGAGGCAGGTGAGTTTGAGACCAGTCTGGTCTACAGAGCTAGGTCCAGGACAGGCTCCAAGCCTACACAGAGAAACCCTGTCTTGAAAAAAAAAAGGAACAAAGAACATAGATTAAAATATATAGGTTAATTTAACTTATAAGAACTAGGACTGAGTAGGGTGTTAGTGGTGGCACATGCCTTTAATCCCAGCACTTGGGAGGCAGAGGCAGTCGGATCTCTGTGAATTCGAGGTCAGCTTGGTCTACAGAGTGAGGTCCAGGACATTCTCCAAAGCAATAATGAGAAACCCCGTCTCAAGAAAAAAAAAACAAAAAAAAACCCAAACCCAAACCAAACCAAAGAACTAGGGCTGGAGAGATAGCTCAGCGATTAAGAGTACTGGCTGCTCTTCCAAAGGACCCCCATTCAATTCCAAGCACCCACATGGCAGTTTATAACTGTCTGTAATTGCAGTTCCAGGGGATCTCAGACCCTCATATAGACACACAATCAGGCAAAACCCCAATGTACATTGGGAACTGATAGGTAGGACAGAAAAATCTGCCTACAGCTTGCCATGGGGCTTAGAGCCCAACATGGGTCTTTTACAAGAGCAGTAAGTACTCTTAATTAACATTGAATCCTCTCTAGTCCTAGCTTTTAATTTTTTTAAGTGTGTGTGTGTTTGTGTGTGTGCGCTTTCAGGAGTCAGTTCTCTCCTTCTGCCATGTGTGTCCTAGGGATTGAACTCAGGCCATTAGCTTTGGAAGTAAGCGTTTTTTACCTACTAAACATTTGGCCAACCAGTGCTTTTTATGGGGTATATGTGTCTTATTCTTCTTTTAGGTTTTATAATTCCTCAAATCGAACTCATTTCACATTCTTTCAATTCTTAGTCTACTGTCTCTACTGTAGGAGTGGGTGTGGGCTCTTATGCTTTCACTCATTATGTCTGCAAATTTATGCTGGTAGTGGATTGCTTTTCTGTCAGCTTCTGAAAAATTGTAAGTTTGACAGTGGCAGGGGGTCATTTTTCAAGTGTGAATTCAATCCAACCTGGACACTTTGCATTTATTTAGTTTTGTCAGGAGTATCAATTAGGGTACAATAAGGAAACAGAATTCATACCAGTAATTTGAACACAGTTTATGTAAAGAATTATTAATTAAAGATAGTCACTGAAAGGATGGGGATCGAGGGAGATGCTCTAGTCAGTAAAACGTATTTGAAAGTTTAAAGAGCTAGGTTCAGATCCCCAGAGCCCCTCTAAAATGCGGATGGTGGTGGTGTGTATTTGTAGGCCCCATGACAGTGAGATAAGAGGCTGATACAGGCTGACCCCACACACCACTGGTCAAGCAGCCTCACCTACTTGGAAAAGTTCTAACCCCAATGAGAGACCCTGCCTCAAAAGAAAAAAGAACGTGGAATCTTCTGAGAGCATGACTTCTGTATTAGTTTATTTATTTATTTATTTATTTAATTTATTGTTTTTCGAGACAGGGTTTCTCTGTGTAGCTTTAGAGCCTATCCTGGCAGACGCTCTGGAGACCAGGCTGGCCTCAAACTCACAGAGACCCGCCTGCCTCTGCCTCCCGAGTGCTGGGATTAAAGGCGTGCACCACCAATGCCAGGCCCTAGTTAGGGTTTTTTATTGCTGTGAAGAGACACCATGAGCACAGCAACTCTTTTTTTTTTTTCTTTTTTTCCCACAGCAACTCTTATAAAGTAAACATTTTCAGGGGGAATGGGTGGATGACAGGGAGAGGGAACTGGGATTGGTATGTAAAATAAGATTGGTTTTAATTTAAATAAAAATCAATTTTAAAATCAAACAAAAAAAGAAAGGAAAAAGAAAACAACTAATTGGGGTACTTTGCTTACAATTTCAGATGTTCAGTCTATTATCATTAGGATGGGGAGCATGGCAGTATGCAGGCAGACACAGTACTGGAGAGGTAGCTGAGAGTCCTACATCTTGCAGCAACAGAAACTTGACTGAGACACTGGGCAGTATCCTGAGCATAGGAAACCTCAAAGCCTGATCCCACAGTGACACATTCCAACAAGCCCATTCTCACTCCAACAAAGCCACACCTCCTAACACTGCCACTCCCCATGTAATTATGGGGGTCAGTTACATTCAAACTACTACGGCATCCAAATGTGTTTTCTGACACACATGCACACACCTGCATGCACCTCCTCACCTCCCCAGCACAACCACCTACAAAGGATGACTGACATAAGACTGAAAGAGTAGAATTGCATTGTAAGCAGCAGCTACCTCTAGAGTTGAAGGGATGGATCCAAGGAAGGCCAATACAGGGACACTGCTCTGCCCCATCCAGGCTAACAGTCACAGTGTTTGGTAGTATAGCTAGTGGCTGGTTGGACAGTAGAAAAGTTCAAGGTGTAGCAGGGTAAAGCTGGTTAAGGCTAGAGTAAGGGAGCTGCTTGCCAGGGTACTAGTGACTTGCTGGCACTAGGCAGCTAGAGCTGATGATCAGGAGCTTAGGTGCATGCCACCAAGTCTTCTGTACATTTCTAACAAGGATGTTACCTTCTGGGATGTTGGCAATTGCTGAATGGGGTGTTGGTGTTATTACGTCTTCTACATACCACTTGGACCGTAGATGCCAGGAAAAGGAAACAAGGCAAACTAGAAAAACAAGTTCCTGCCACTGTTGGGCTGTGTACTGTTCCTCCAGCACCCTCACCTCGAGGCCTGGCAACTGCTTACAATGTCAATATCATAAATCAGGAAAAAAAAAAAAAGGGCCAACTAGGACCCGTGAGACACAAACTGATGACTGGCATAACCTGTTATCAAGGGTGAATCCATTGGATGGGGTAGACTTAATACTGACTTTACAGCTTGGGATGACCAAACAACATGGGTAGTATACATTAGAAGAGGCAAGTTTTGGAGATTTTGAATATTGACTTTTTAGGGAAGATTCCTTTCCCTTTAAGCTTCTCGTATACCAATGATGGCCTGTAAAGGAGGTTCTTCCTGTTTGTAGCATCATTATATACATAATTACCTACCATACATAATATGGATTTAAAAGGACTTATATTTTGGAGATGGGGATGTGTGTAAGCGTTACAGTGGATCGGATGGACAGGGATTCTGGCACTCCGGAATCAAAGAATACTGAATGTTACATTGTAACAGTATTCTGGCAATCGCGAGCCAAGGAATACCACAGGTCACAGTAAGCGTAGCAGCTTACAGCCAGCCCTGCTTGGGGGAAAGGCTTCCTCAGTGTATCAGCTCTGCTCTGGCAGAAGAGGGTTTCCCCAGCTCCAGGGAAAGGCTTCCTGATGGTAGCAGCTCTGCTCCTGCAGGAGAGGGTTTCCCCAGTGAAGTTGTTACAGTTGGGCTCCGGGTCCCCTGGAGAGCAGATTGTAACAACTTTGCTTCCCTAGGGGAAGTCCCCAGGGGGAAAAGTGTTACAGACCTGCTCCACTCTGCCCAGGTCAAACCTGCTCCAGGGAAAGGTCTTCACCCAAACCTCATTCAAGAGATTTATTGGGAGGGAAGAATCCAGGAGAGTGGCTACCTCTGCCAGGGTGGAAGGAGGCAGCTGGACAGCCACATGCTGTACAGACTCAGCGTTTATATAGGGGCTTCTTAGGGGGTGGAGCCTTTCCAGGGAGATTTCCAGGGTGGGGATTGGTCAGATTTCAATCCTTGAGCTCAGACAGGCTAGATCTCCCACTTAAGGACTGGTTGGTTTTCTGCTCAGGTTTAGGGTCAGATTTGGCTCTGGTTTCAGGGCCAAAGTGTGGTGGTGGTGGTGGTGGTGGTGGATTTCTCTGTGTAGCTTTGGAGCCTATCCTGGCACTCGCTCTGGAGACCAGGCGGGTCTCGAACTCACAGAGATCCGCCTGTCTCTGCCTCCCGAGTGCTGGGATTAAAGGCGTGCACCACCAACGCCCAGCTCAAAGTGTACTTCTTTCACTGGTCCTTTTTAGCCTTTTGGCTCTAATTTTAGGGCCAGAGTGCATTTCTTTCACTGGCTCCGATTCTAGGGACAAAGGGTGTTTCTTTGGCACTGGTTTCAGGGTCAGGGTGCATTTCTTTGGTTCTGGTTGCTGGACTAAAGTATGTCTGTGTGAGGGTGTCAGGTCTTGGAGTTGAGGCAGTTGTTAGCTGATATGTGGGTTCTGGGAACTGAAGCTGAGTCTTCTGGAAGAGCAGTCAGTGCTTTTAACTGCTGAGCCATCTCTCCAGCCTGATAAAATAATTTTTAAAAATAACAGGATATCTCAAAAAACCAAACATAAAGAAATGTAACACACCTTAAAATAATATTCCACAACACCTAGGTATGTTTTAATTGCTGCAACTCTTCTTTGAGAAGCCCATACCCATGTTCTTGGCTATTATTTTATCTTTCCTTCTAAGCACCTTTCTTTCTTTTAAACTAACATTAAAATACCTTGGGCTGGCCGGCGTTGGTGGCGCATGCCTTTAATCCCAGCACTTGGGAGGCAGAGGCAGTTGGATCTTGGTGAGTTCAAGGTCAACCTGGTCTATAGAACTAGTTCTAGAACAGCCAGGGCTACATAGAGAAACCCTGTCTTGAAAAGCTAAACTAAAAAAAAGTACTCAGTGTTTAAAAGTATAAACTATTTTTGCAAGTGTTATTTGAAGATATATTATGGTAACATTAGACTAAATCAAGCAGGGAGAAAAAAGAAAACAGTACTGGCAAGATGAATAAAGGTATTCTGCTAAGCCTGATAACCACAGTTTGATTCCTGAGACACACATAATGGAAGGAAAGAAGTAACTCCACGTTGTCATCCGACCTTCACATGATTGCTGTGACAGGCACATACTCTGTCACACATGATAAACAAGTTTAATAAAATTAAAATATCTTAGGCCTCTGAGATGGCCAACCTGATAGCCTCGGTTTGAGCCCTAGTACCCACAAACCTAAGATTGCTGAGGTTGGACGTAGAATTAGAGAAAGGAGACAGTCAATACTGCTGTATGCTTATGAAAGAGAAAGAAAAGTAGCAGGAAGCCTGACCCCACCCAGTAGCACTGCCAGTACCTATGGCCTGTGAGGGTGGCCCAGGTGAGAAGAGCACTTCTAAGGATCTTTTTTAAAATTTATACTTTTAAATAATTTATTTAAGTTTATTTTATTTGCATTGGTGTGAAGGTATAAGGTCCCCTGGAACTGGAGTTTCAGACAGGTGGGAGCTGCCATGTGGGTGCTGGGAATTGAACCCAGGTCCTCTGGAAGAGCAGTCAGTGCTCTTAACCAATCAGCCATCTCTCCAGCCCCCTAAGGATCTTTTTTTTTTTTTTTTTTGGTTTTTCGAGACAGGGTTTTTCTGTGGCTTTGGAGGCTGTCCTGGAAGTAGTTCTTGTAGACCAGGTTGGTCTCAAACTCACAGAGATCTAGCTGCCTCTGCCTCCCCAAGTGCTGGGATTAAAGGTGTGTGCCACCAACTCCTGGTTCTCTAAGGATTTTTAAATATTGGTTTGGGAAACAGTTATTGGAGAAATGAAAGCAAGCACTGTATTAGTTACTTTTCTTGTTGCTGCAATGAAATACTTAATGAGAGCAATTCAAGGAAAGAAGGGTTAATTTCTGGCTCACAGTTTGAGAATACAGTCTATCTTGGTGGAGAAGGCATGACAGCAGGTCACACTGCAGCTGCAGTGTGGAAGCAGAGGGTGACAAACACTGGTGCTCAGTTTGCTTTCTTGTTTGGGACCCCACCTTATGCAACGGTGCTGCCCACATTTAAGGAGGGACTTCTCACCTCAAACAAACCTAAAATTCCCTCACAGACATTCCCAGAAGCTCATCTCCTAGGTGACTCTAGACCCTGTCAGGTTGATGGTCGACATTGACCATCACAAGCAGTTATATGCCAACCACTGTTGTAAGCACTTTATATGTATTATTTTGTTGAAAATCGAATACAATAACTCCTTAACTTTAAGATAATAAAAAGTGTGCTTATTCCTGTTTTACTTTTGAGATTGAAGTACAGGGTATGCAAACAACTTGCTCAAATGAATCGGATTTAAACCCAAACAATCTGACTGGTAATCTTTTTCTTTTTTAAAAACTAGTATTCTAGTCAGGCAGTGGTGGCACACACCTTTAATCCCAGCACTCAGGAGGCAGAGGCAGGCGGATCTCTGTGAGTTCGAGACCAGCCTGGTCTATAAGAACTAGTTCCAGGACAGCCTCCAAAGTCACAGAGAAACCCTGTCTCAAAAAATCAACCAACCAACCAAACAAACAAAAACAAACTAGTATTCTATAAGTGATGTACAGGCACACACATCATGGTGCACATGTAGAGGTCAGTTGGTTCTTCCCCACTTCTATGTGGGTTGCAGGGATCAAACTCAGGCCATTAGGCTTGTATAGCAAGTGCTTGACCCATCAGATCTTTTTCTTGTGTGTTTTGCTGCAGTATGGCAGAGCATAAATGAATGAATGAATGAATGAATGAATGAATGAATGAGCTAAGTGAACCTCTGAATTCCACAGCAGAGGGTGAGTAAAGTAGGGCAGAGAAGAGGCTAGTTAGATGCAAGGTACTATTCCAAGCTTTTTTTTTTTTTCCGAGACCAGGTTTCTCTGTGTAGCTTTGGAGCCTGTCTTGGAACTCGTTTTGTAGACCAGGCTGGCCTCAATCACAGAGATCTGCCTGCCTCTGCCTCCCAAGTGCTGGGAGTAAAGAAAGGCATATGCTACCACCACCTGGTACAATTCCAACCTTAATTCACCCACTTTTAGCCATCTAGTACTAAAGCAGTACAGCACAGTGTTGAGTGAATAGATTTTTGGCACCAGACAGAGCTGAGCTGAATTTACTCTAGGCAGCTGTGTGCTCTTGAATAATGGAACCTTTCTAAGTATTCGTTTCAGCAGCCTTACAATGGGGTCAGTAGTAGCTATGCTCTTGAGTACGCACAGGCATAAGCAACTGCACATACACATGTGCATACAGCACACATGCAGCATACTCACATACAAAGCACCTAAAGGAAACATTTTGAAGACTGGCTATCCTATGTAAAGTCTTCCAGCTGCCGCCACTTCAGATGGCAATGAGCCTTGGAGCTCCCGGATCAAATCCATTTGTGGAGACTAGAGAACACCTCAATGAAGAGATACTGTTTGAGCATGGTTGTGATGAACAACAGAATGTTTGCTATTGGCTGGTAAGGTGGCTTAGCAGATAAAGGTGCCTGCTGCCAAGTCTGATAACTTGAATGTGATTCCTCAACACACATGATGGAAGGAGAGAAACAACTCCCTCAAGATTTTTGTTCTCTGACCTCACATGCATACCATGCATTGAATATATGCATATATGCATTGAATAAAAAAGGGGGGTCTAGTACAGCTGAGCTGGCAGCATGAGCAAATGCAAGGAAATGGGGGCTTAAATTGGGTCCAACCACAGAGGGCACTAAAAGAAGTATTAGTAAACAAAGCTTCAATGGCCTGTGTGATTTATAATTTGGGAAAATAAATGGAATCAGGATTTTGAAGTCCCCATGACAGAAGAATTTGAATTTGTGACAGGGCAAGACAGTTCCTCCATCTGTATTCTTGCTGAGGCCATTTCAGGTTTAACTAGAATTTGATATCTATGATATAGAATCCCATGGAAAATTACCCAACCCTATTCTAGGAACCTGAGGTAAAAATGCCCCAGTTAACTTAGCTTAGCTTTCATTAAATTACCTGCTTGTGCAAATTTTCCCTTCCAGCTAACCAGCTTATTTTAGTTTTTATTAAATTGCCTGCTTGTGCAAACTTTTCCCTCCAGCTAACAGCTTATCTTAGTTTCTATTAAACTGTTTGCTTGTGCAAACTTTTCCCTTTAGCTAATAGCTTATCTTACCTTAAGTAAAACTGCTTACTTGTGCAAACCTCCCCTTGCAGCTGCTGAGTGAGATAACAAATATGTGGTTTTTGCCTTTAAAAGCCCTTTGGCCTAAATGCTCGGGACTATATTTGAGTCCCCAAATACCTGAGTTTAGTTCCAGCTGGCTGGAATAAAGACTTTTAATTGGTTATAAACTGTGTCTGAGTGGTCATCTCTGGTAGGTTCCCTGCAACAATTTCCTTCATTTTGCTGTTCCATGTTCTGCTTTAAAAAATAGTTACATGTGCGCTCACTGTCATTTAGCCTTCATTTCCTAGCCTCCTTGAGTGCCTTTTGCTGACGGGAAACTACCAGGAGAAACTTGTTGGGAGGGTTTCTGGGAAAGTTTTGTTTTATAATGAAAGGACAGATTCCTGATACCATTTTTTCCCCTCTACTTCATGCCACGTGTAGGGTGGCAACCATCTTTTGATCATGAGGTTATGAAGCAGAGGACTCCGGTACAGTTGAGATACTGAGCCAAATCCCCAGCAGCCAAGAGTTTCAAACACCTTGATATCTGAGAAAAGCAAAGGCCTGTACTCTAAGCATCCAGGTTTTCTAGACTTGGGACCCAGATCACTCCTAACTGATTCAATGGGAATACTTTGGCTTTTTAGAATAAAAACAGAAAAAGATGGTCATGGTCATGCATGCCTGTAATCTCAGCACTCCAGAGGTAATGGCAAGAGGACCACAAGTTCAAGATCATTATTAGCTATACAGCAAATTCAAGGCCAGCCTGAGTTACAAGTCTATGTCTCAAAAATTTAATTCAAAAAATAAAGTAGTGTTTCACTCAGGCTGGGATTCCTTGATTTTTTACTTTTTTGAATTCAGAACTCACACTGTTAATGACTGAGACACGATCTAGTATTTGGCTTGTTGATAGCCTAGGACTAGGCATGTGTATAAACTGGTATAAGTACATACCAGGGACAGATTGGCTAAGGATCAGTGCTATGACTCATCAAAACAGGACAGAGCATAGTCTCCTCAATCCATTCATTTGTTCTATCTGTAAACATGTTCTGTCGTCAAAATTTAATGCTGTGACATTAAATCATGACCTGCAATGTCAGATTGATTGAATGCAACATCCATAAAGAGGAGCTAACTGGCCTTTATAGACATTCAGCAGGACAGGCTCGTACTTTTTTTTTTTTTTTTTTTACCAAATATAAGGCAATTTTGTCTAACTTTTCTGCAGGTAGGTGGAGATTCCAAGGGCTGATAAACGTTGGACCCAATGTCAGGTTTCAAGGTCCAATTTCATTCCCCCATTCTTGGCTTTCTTGGTGGCACAAGCCTTTAATAATCTTTGACAACATTAAGGGGAACTAATTTATGCAGCCTTCATAAATATCAAAGCAAAACTCAAGTATATAAGACAGAAATGGATGTTCATACCTGTAATCTCAGCACTTGGGAAGTGGAAGCAGGAGGAGTAATGCAAAAGCAAGGCCAGTCTGGGCTACTCTTCAGTCCAATCTGGACTCTATAATAGAACCTGTCTCTATCCCAAGCCTGAACAATGCAATTATAAAACTCAGGTTATAATTTATATTTTTATCTGGGATATTATTTCTCTCTAAGCTTTACTTTTAGCTTGGGTTTTTGAGTTTCCTTCAATTTTGACTCATTCCATATTGTTCAAAAAACTGTAGAAAACAAAGAATTGGGCATGGTGGTTTTAGTTTGCAGTTTCTGATTCAAGATTCCACATATATTCCTTGTAGAGTCCAAGGAATCCACAGTTGCATTTGGTAGTTCAGAGCCAATCTGAGCCCTTTGCGTTCAGCCTTGCTTTGAGCCTATTATAAAACTGATTCATTTAAATTTTATCACCACCCCAACACTCCTCTAAACTCCACAATCATCTTTTCTTTCCCTTCATTTGGCAGCATATGGCATGATTCCCATTGTGTGGTCTGCATTTATGTATCTCTGTGTGTGCAGGTATTCATGCAGGTCAGAAGAGGGGTTTGTATCCCCTGGAGCTGAAATAACAGATGATTGTGAGCCACCTCTTGTGGGTGATGGGAACTGAACTGCAGTCCTCTGGAAGAGCAGCAAGTGCTCTTAACTACTGAGCCATTTCTTCAGACCCATCCCCATAAGCTTTAATCTGAAAGATAATTTCAACAGGTACTGTAGAAAAACAAGTTTCTCAGTCATCCTGGGAGCAGCAGTCACTTAAAGGTGCTGGTTCTTTTGTTACTTTCTAGCTGTAGCGATCCCTTGGGAGAATGGTTATTTTTGGTTACCTGTTCGGTTGGCTTTATCTGTGTATCATTTATCTGTGTATCATTTCAGCCTAATGAATGGCTAGGCAAATTTGCACTTTCTCACTCTGAGCTGATTTTTACTTTCTCAGTCCTTTCTTTTGTCCAAGAGCCATGAAATTCAGTTCCCAGGACATTATTTTATGAACGCCAGAGCTGCACTACTGAAATCCACTCACTTTGGAGTCAAATTTTCATATTCCTTTCCTTGGGAGAGGAACTGTAATTTATATAACAATAACTGGATAGTGACATTTGTGAGTTAAGATAACACATTTGAACACTATAACACAGACAAATGTTAACATGTTTTGGTACAAAAGTAAACTTTGTAGTACAATTTTAAAAGAAGTCAAGTGTAGCTGTAGGTGGTGGCGCACGCCTTTAATCCCAGCACTTGGGAATGCAGAGGCAGGTGGATCTCTCGGAGTTTGAGGCCAGCCTGATCTATAGAGTGAGTTCCAGGACAGGCTCCAAAGCTACAAGAAACCCTGTCTCAAAACAAACAAACAAACAAACAAACAAAAAACCCAAAAAACAAAACAACAACAACAAAAAACCTCAAGTGAATCTAAATTAAACTGAAACAGGCTGTCTTCACTATTTTGAGAAGTTCAGAGGCTGGTATGGGAGTAGTAGCTAACTTAGCCTAGTTTTTCAAAGAAATTTCCTTATTCCGTATAGAGTACTTGGTGTTAAGCTACTTGCTAAACCAGCTGGTCTATCACAAAACATCTGTACTAAAGGCAGCTGGGTGGACAGCGAATACAAACTCAACCAGGTGCTTACTTACATTTGAGATAAAAATCAAAAGCAAATTGCAGGCAGGTGCACTGTTGGCCCCAAGAAGAGATAAGAGCTGCAAAGGCTATCATTAAGAAGGTGGCCAAGCAGGGCGTGGCAGTGCACGGCTTTAGTCCCAGCACTCCAGAAGTAGAGGCAGCTGGATCTCTTTTGGGTTCAAGGTCAGCCTGGTCTGCAGATCGAGTTCCAGGATAGCCACGGCTATTACACAGAGAAATCCTGCCTCCTAACCGTGACTGTATAGCCCTGGCTGGCCTAGAATTCACTAGGTAGATCAGGCTGTGCTTCAACTCACAAAGATCTGCTTGCCTTTTATTCCCTTAGTGCTAGGATTAAAGGTATGTGCTACATTTTTAATGGGCTCAACAATTTAATCCTTTGCCTGACAAAAAGGGACCATTTCTTGTGTCATGAGTGCATGTAATCTATCCACATCTGGCTGTAGCCCAGTCATCCTGTGCTTTAAGGACATCTTATAACCCTGGGTCCAAGGAGCCTCCAATCTCCCTGAGTATTAGTGTTGTGCTAGCAGCGGCTAGCAATGACCTTCTCTTCGTAGCTAGCAGGATAGTCTTCCTATAATCTTTTTTTACAGAGGACAAAGTGTCTGGTTTTCAATTGTGAAGAGGTTTTCTTTTTCTTTGGGGGGTAGGGTTTCTTGTCCTCAGCACCATTGACTTGGGACCAAATAATTCTTTGTTGTAGAAGGGCTGTTCTGTGCACCCCAGGAGTTTCCCAGTGTTGCTTCTACCAACCCCATCCCCATACCTGACAACTCAAAGTGTCTCCAGAGGTTGTAGAATGTTCCCTAGAGAGCAAATGAGCTGCAGCTTGACACCACTGCTTCAGAGGATGTGCTGGAAAGTCTACTCCCGCCTGTGAATAAGAGGGAAGGTGATTTGGGTCAGTGAAGAGTTGAGTAAAATGTAACTTTTCCTTCTTTAAAATTGAGACAAGGTCTTACTATATAGGCCTGGCTGGCTTCCAACTTGCAAATCCACCTGCTTCTCTCTCCCAAGTTCTGTGAATTAATGTGTGTGCTACTATACCTGGCATTCCCTCCTAACCCCCCACCTACAGGGTTTGTCTTGGTAACAGGCCTAGCTGTCCTGGAACTAGCTCTGTAGACCAGGCTGGCCTTGATCTGCTGGCCTCTGCCTTCTGAGTACTGGGATTAAATGCATGCATCACCACACCTGGCTAATAATTAGATTATACTGTGAGACCTTGGACATATAAAAAAGTTGTGTACTGTATATAATACACAATGGACTAATAATTCAATGTAGGCAAAGAATGAAATGTCATCTGCAACAGCATGGATGGATGGATCTAGACGACATTATATCCAGTCAAAAAAGGCAGGCACACAAAGCCAGTATCTCACTCATCTCCCTTTAATTGGAATCTTAAAATTCCAATTCATTGAGACAACATTAAATATTTTTTATTAGAGGCTGAGGGCAGGGAAAGGGAAAATGTTACTGAAAAGAGACAGTGTCTCAGGCAGCAATATGCAATGTGGAAATTTTAGTTAATATATCTATGATAGTTAATAGCATCTCCTATAGTTAAGAGTGGATTTTAGCCGGGCGTTGGTAGCTCACACCTTTAATCCCAGCACTCGGGAGGCAGAGGCAGGCGGATCTCTGTGAGTTCAAGACCAGTATGGTACAGAGAGAGTTCCAGTACAGCCTCCAAAACAATACAGAGAAACCCTGTCTCGTAACCCCACCCGCCAAAAAAAGAGTGGATTTTAATTGGACATAGGGATGCACACCTATAATCCCAGTTACTTGGGAGGCTGAGGCAGAGGATCACAAGTTGGGTATCAGCCTAAAATACATGGCAAATTCCAGTTAAAGTCTCCGTCATTTAAGAACCCAACGCAACAAGAAATGGCTGGGGATATAATGGCAGCTTGCTAGCTTACTATAGATAGGCAAGGGTGCGGCAGGGGATGGTGTATTAACTGTTTTCATCCCAAACAATAATGCAGGATAGATGATAGCTACGTTAATGAATCTGATTTGTTCATTTGGCAGTGTATCCATGCACTGCAATTTAACACTGTACCCCATAAATATACGATTTATCAATCTGAAGAGTAAGGTAGTGCAGGAGCTTGTGGTTCCTACTATGAGCTCAAGAGCCAAAAGGCCAACCCCGACAACACAGTGAGACCAAGAATCAAAGAGTACTGCATTCGTACAAGTGGAGAACAAAGAGAATTGTCTAACCTTGCGATGAGCATGAGCATCTGTTACACCTGCGGGAGATGAAGCTGCAAAACGTTGATTAGGTGGGGTCTGAGAAACAGACGCTTTTAATAGTGAATTTCTCCGTGAGTTGTGCATAAGAATCGCTAGGTAACTATTTAAAAACAACAACAACAACAACAACAACAACAAAAAAAAAAAACTCGAAGCCCAGACATCACGCAAGAACACTTGCATCTGAATCTATGGATATGGAACCCATAGACTTCTTTTTCTTTCTTAGAGGCTTGTACCTGATTCCAAACAGGAGCCAAGATTAGAAAACACATACAAAATATGTGGACTTTTGGAGGAAAAGAGGCGATACGGAAAGATGAAGTAAAAACCCATGCAGGACTGGGCGGCTACTGCAAGGGCAGGGACAAAAGCCAAGAGTACCAGCGAAGAATTTAAGGACTGCATGTGTTTCACAGAAGGGCTCTGGGTGACAGCAAGGAGCTTGGAGCACTCGAGACTGCATTCAAATGACGTTATTGTGCCGCTGCTCCTGTCCCGTTCCATTTTCTCGCTCATTTTCCCACAGTTGACACACACAAAAAAATGACGGTCACGTTCTCTCCCACGCGTCGCGCCAGAGGCGCCTATGGGCGG